ATATTTTTACAAAACGATATTGTTTCTTGTTTAATTAATACTTTGCATAGACCCAATGTTTTTCATTTATCTAACTGCATTCTTTCACATTCCGTTTTGTTTGTGTTACTACCCGTTTGATCAATGTTTTGTATTCTTCGTTTTCTAGAATACTATTATTAAACTTCCATACACCCAGTCCTCTTTTATTCTTATTGGTTAATTTCAGTTGAAGAGATTTAGCTTGATGATCTGGATACTTGATTTGGGCTGGCCTAAGTTTTGTTATGCAATCTCAAAATATCAACTTTTTTAAGTGACTTCCCTTATATTTGTTACCACTCCATAGGTTCTTTTGAGAACTCTAGTTTGTACACTTGTTTTCCTATCTATTTTATCATGTACCTCATTAAATTGCCTCCTATGATTAGAAACCCGTCTCTGTATGTAGTTAGTTCTTTGCGAATATTTAAAAAATAAATACATTAATATTTTGTTCGTAATTTGGTGCGTTTATATTAACCAAAGTAAATTTGACATTTTCAATTTCAATATCGAGCATAACATATCTTCCTTCCTCATCTACTTTTCCTTTCTCTACAGCCATATTTAATTTGTTTTATTCCATATATTTGTTACACCTTTACGTTACAGCCATATTTAATTTGTTTTATTCCATATACTTGTTACACCTTTACTTTACAGCTATATTTAATTTGTTTTATTCCATATAATTGTTACACCTTTACTTTTGTTGTCCCCAAAACTTGATATTGCATAAGCAAAAGTGGTTGTTACGTTGTTAAAGACGTTCATTAGATCATCTGTAAAATGGGTTTCTTGCAGTAACCGTATGTCACATTTCTGGTTTTAAGCCAGTCGTGTACACGGAATCTTTTCGAGTTGTCTCTAAGACCCCTGCCATTCAATGACACTAAATGTATTGTATTAGGGATGCAGATTGAAATAGCGTTGATTAATTATTTTCCTTTCTATTATTGTTATACAAATTAAGTTATATTTTTTATTATCATTGTTAATGCATGTCTTGATTTCGTTAATTCTTTGTTTGTCCATTTCCCTTTGATGTGCCCTGTTAGACAACTATGTATATAAGGTTGTCATTGTTATCTCTCGTTTGTCTATTTCCCTTTTATGTGCCCTGTTAGACAACTATGTATATAAGGTTGTCATTGTTATCTCTCGTTTGTCTATTTCCCTTTGATGTGCCCTGTTTTACAACTATGTATATAAGGTTGTCATTGTTATGCCTCGTTTGTCCATTTCCCTTTGATGTGACCTGTTATACAACTATGTATATAAGGTTGTCATTGTTATCTCTCGTTTGTCTATTTCCCTTTGATGTGCCCTGTTTTACAACTATGTATATAAGGTTGTCATTGTTATGCCTCGTTTGTCCATTTCCCTTTGATGTGCCCTGTTAGGCAACTATGTATATAAGGTTGTCATTGTTATGCCTCGTTTGTCCATTTCCCTTTGATTTGCCCTGTTATACAACTATGTATATAAGGTTGTCATTGTTATCTCTCGTTTGTCTATTTCCCTTTTATGTGCCCTGTTAGACAACTATGTATATAAGGTTGTCATTGTTATCTCTCGTTTGTCTATTTCCCTTTTATGTGCCCTGTTAGACAACTATGTATATAAGGTTGTCATTGTTATCTCTCGTTTGTCTATTTCCCTTTGATGTGCCCTGTTAGGCAACTATGTATATAAGGTTGTCATTGTTATGTGTCGTTTGTCCATTTCCCTTTGATTTGCCCTGTTATACAACTATATATATAAGGATGTCATTGTTATGTCTCGTTTGTCGATTTCCCTTTGATGTGCCCTGTTATACAACTATGTATATAAGGTTGTCATTGTTATCTCTCGTTTGTCTATTTCCCTTTGATGTGCCCTGTTTTACAACTATGTATATAAGGTTGTCATTGTTATGTGTCGTTTGTCCATTTCCCTTTGATTTGCCCTGTTATACAACTATATATATAAGGATGTCATTGTTATGTCTCGTTTGTCCACTCGTATTACGACTCATGTGTCTGTTCTGTATTTTTTAATTGTCATTGAGTTCCTCGCTCATCGTTGGTTGGTTTCGCACATTTTTCATAAGCGTTCGCTGTTTGTTAGGAGTACCAGGGGTATTTTTACCCAGCACAGCCGCGAATGATGCTTTAACGGACGGCTGAGCAGGATCCTTACCAACTTGGGAGCGGCTACGACTGCGTTGCGTACCAGCTACTTTATGACGGGACTCCGTGTATCTTTTTTTAAGCTGTTGTTGTCTGTTTTGTCGTTGCTTTTGCACTCAGTTGTGTCAGTCACTCCGTCCCTGTCACTCAGTTGTGTCAGTCACTCTGTCGCTTTGTCCCTGTCACTCAGTTGTGTCAGTCACTCCGTCGCTTTGTCCCTGTCCGTCCGTGTTTAGCTCGTCACCGTTGATTGCGTCCCTCGTGTCGTCGCTCGTGCGTGTATTGTCTGATTGGGGATTGGAATGTTGTCCTGACAGTTGGGCCTCACAGTCGGTTTGTTTATATCCAACGTTACCTCACGCCCTACACTTCCAATCGTTGGGACACTCAGGGAAAGTGTGACCAACTTGTGTGCACTTTGAACAGTTTTTGTCATTTTTGTCTTTATTTTGTGTATCCATTTGACCTCTGTAAAATGCCAATGTTCTGTATTTTCCCATTTGTAGAACCCGGGGTATGTTTCTTTTTTAATTGAGCTTGTTTTTAATATGACAAATCTGTCACTGGTTTCAAAGTTTGTGAGCTTACCTTTATAGCGCAACTTTTCACGAGTGACACTACCAATGGTTTGTGCCCCTCCTTGTTCAAAAACCTTTCGATTTGTCCGCCATCGGCTGACAACGGTATGTCTTTAATTCTTACCCTTGTTGTGTCCTCCCCGTCAAATCTGTTTGGGTTAGTTTTAAGTATTTCCATTGTGTAATTTCTGAAATGAAACCCGCTTGCCATAAGAGTGACCTTGTCGTCGAAGTAGATTCTTATACTTAACCTTGGATTTTATTGTCTAAAACTAAATGTGTAGAAACGATTTTCTCCAATTTACTCGCCGCTGAGAAAATCCGCCTTCACACATCTCTTTGTTCCTCTTTGATGTCAACTTTATCATTTTCAATTGTTCACTGGCTGAAAAAACATCTCAGCGTGACGGCAGAGGTGCCTTCTATGTTGCACAACTCTCCATGCACCTGTTCTGGCGGTGTCTGTAAAGCACACTATGCTTTATTATAGGAGCGTATTTCAGATTTAGCCTCGACCTTCATTTTAGCATTGAAAAGTGACCACTGGTCATTCAACAATGAATAACTTGTTCCATTGTTGTTACATTCTGTCGAACCTTTTTGCACGTGCAGTTTGCTTTTGTTATCTGCCAAAGCTCTAGTCTAAGGAGGGAGCTGTGTAGTGACACATTGTGTAACCGGGTATCAAATTGACCCCCAAGTCGTTATTTGTCGTGAATAATTCTTTATTCGACATAGGTTAAAACACCTACACTCTGTGTATGGCACAGAGCCGTTTTAACCTCATACAATACTAATCACCGGTACTCCATGCTTTCTTCCTTTTGCTTACGTGATAACATCTACAAATTTCCTGTCTGTCTTACAGTCCCTTTGTCATAAAATGTCTTGATCAAAAATAGGTCTTTTCAGTTTGGCAGGCAAGAGAGTACTGATTTTCCTTACAAAGAGATTCCCGCCAAACTGACCAAAGGGTATTATAATAGTTTGACCAATAGAAATCTGCACAGCTATCACTTGTACGCCATGTGATATATAAAAATAGAACTATACAGGTAAGGTGATATATAACAAGAAAATGCAGCAAAGCTGCTGGACACCAAACCATTTTATGAAATTGACTTACTGACAGTCCACCAACCACGAGGGAACGGATCCTGCATACTTTAATCTATTTAATTATAATCATATAAATTGTAAATGGCATTAATTGTGTTGTTCAGAATATTCAGTTCACGCTCAATATCTAGTTGTAACCGCACGTTTTGGGCCAAATGTCAATGATTTGGTAATAATGTCATCTTCTAAGAGAGAGAGAGAAGCCGGGGACATAAGACGATTTACATAAACTATCATTTACACCTTTTGTCAAAATTGCAGCAATTTTTGCATATATAATTCTTTTGACAATGTCCCTATTTGACTATTTTGGATAAAATATCAACCATTTTCTAGGATAAAGGGTCAATCGTAGCCCCCCTCCCCCCGTCCCTTTAAATAATAGTTATTAATTCTCGAGACTGCAACGAAGACATATTTTGACAACGCTGGTTTTTTGGTTGTTACCTTTTCAGGCGCTAACTACTAGCCAAATGCCACCTGGCTAATATCTCCCCATGTGTGTATGACTGCGTGTGTGCTGGAAATGTATACGTAATGTGGTGTGTTTGTAGCGGGACCGTGCTTCATACGGTATCATTTATAGTGCCACCTCGCTTGAATGCTACAGCACAAATACCGCAACATTCTCCCCAGACCAATTTATACTCCACCTGGGTTGTTGGAGTTGTATAGGCAGGAGAAAAACACTTGCTCTGCATATCCATGCATACGACAACTTCTGGGATCGAACCCCGGCCGCATGGAAGGCCGTTGTGTTAACTTTGACCACTCGACCATATTAGCATATGACATATTGTTCAGAACGACTTTAACAAAAAGGGACCGAAATTGCCCCTGTCCCAATATGGGGACATATATTTTGAAATAAAAGTCCTCAGCAGGCAGGGGTTTAGGGGGATAAGGTATCCTGGTTTAACAACAACAACAATCCCCCCCGTACGAAGAAATCATAATAGTACACCCATTTAATAACGACAGGACTGGATGTTCACTCTACTGACAAAATGTAACTGTTAAGTTATGTAGGAAACAGTAATTTCATGTGTATGTGTGCCAGCTGTTTGGGTCTCGCCTATTTCATATTACAAATGAAATAAATATAGCGTATTGAACGGGAAAACCATGACATTTTCTATTTCTTACATTTCTTTCACGTTTCGCTGCGCAAATATTGCTACATCAGAAAAGCGTGGGAATGTATAACGTAGTTTTTGACGCCAAATTATAATGACGTCATGCTTGACAACAATACAAAGCGCCACTTTGAATGGGTTTTCACTGCAATTTTGCCGTTTGCTAGTATATCTGGTAAGATTTCCAGACAAAAATGATATTAATTGTGTAGTTATGTAAAAACAACAATGCATGCTGCAAAGGTAAACAGCTCAACCACTTATACTGCCGTCACTTCATCTAAATATAGATACAGATACAGATATTTTACAAGTAAACTGCAATCAATACCGATACGGTAGGGTTTACCAACATATTTTTGCAGACAGTATGCGGCCTTAATTTCCCAGAAGGCTTTCACGCATGGGGAAGCACCGGAAGTGGACAAAGTGTTTACAGATCAAACCCCGGCGGCGCTTTGCGCCGCTTGGGGGTTTGAAAAAAATAGAAATACAGGTAAGTAATCAAATAATCACTCCCTGTAACCTTTAACACACACATATCTCTTTTACACACTCTAAACAATTTGGGCACAAACAAACAGACATGCATACATACAAATTATATAAAACAGGATAGTGATCACCCTATTACAATTGAATGGCCCTCGTACCTTATGCTGTAAAAGTATTTTTTAAGCATGCTACCTTTTCATCAATACTATGTAATATACAATATCATTTTGAGATTTCAGTTTTTACTATGGATAATTATTCACGCACTAGATCCTTGATACCTACTATTACGATTTCGATAGGGGCAATGGAAGACATAATGACAAGTGTTACACTTTTTCTTCTTGAACACGTCGTTTCAGCGTCCGTTTCCGTTTCCTGTTAGGGTGTATGCTGCCTTTCCTTTCCATTGTTGCCTTGACCTTAATTTGGATAACGTCTGAGTATTAATGGTTCGGTACACTTTCTGACTGTAACTATGTTTTGTATGGTGCTTAAACCAACCGTTGAGTTTTTACTCAAATACCAAATCTACGTTGTATCCTGCTAGCCTTTCCTTGTAAACACGGTCAAAATGTTTGTTTTGTTCTGGAGTAAACCATTGCTTCCAGTCTCCTACGTCACCTAGTAAGGGAAGATTAACGACATTATAAGTATATATATATATAAAGAAAACACAACATCTAACGACCGACTAAACTACTGGCGGCTTTCAACCTCCACAGGGTTCTTCATATTTCTATATATCTTGGTTTGTACAAACCTGAAGAGCCATGTGAAGGGTGAAAGCAGCTAGTTTTTTAGTCGGTCGTTAGATCTTATTTTTTCTAGATTTACTTACTTCACGTGGACATTTAATCGTTTTCTTATTATTTATATGGCTAACAATATGTCAATCAACAACAGAATTATCAACATTGTGGCGACTAAGTGGGACCCCCTGCTGTGACTTAGATCCATCGCAGTATTGAGAGGCGACTAATGAGACATTCCGTAGCAGATTGGAGATTTTTCACATTTACTGGGCCAGATTTCCAAATGCACATGTTCCACGTTTTTGATATCTCTCGTTGACTCACTTTATATGACAGTGCATCTTGCGCAAGAATAGGTCCTCTACATCGGCGTTCCTTGTCCGCGTTGCTCTCAGCTTAATTGCTGCCTTCGGCTGTCTTTAGCCGAGGGGGCTATTGGTTTTATATAATAGCTATATTTTCAATTATAGTATATCAATTCTATCTTCTTGTAATATGATGTATATGTACATGTTACTGTTCTGTTTCACTGTGTCTTGAAAAAGAAGCGGATCGCTCCGAAAATTTGACAACCTAAACTTGTCCACACTGATGGAATTACTTCTTTGCCCCATATATACATATATATATCCTTAAATCCAATACAATTGACTCGTGGTAATCTTAAAAACCTTCTTGTACATTTTAACGATTATTTCGTTACTCAGATGGATATCAGTTTGGGCCTTTTATAATGGTGTTGCATTCCATTATAAACGTTTAAAAGATTAATTTTAAACCTTAAACTATGCTTATCATATAGCACGCATGCTTTATATCATTTTTCAATAAATTGAAAAAATAAACATACGTTTGTAAAATAACAAAGTACAGAACATCAGCTTTAACTCATCGTTAAATAATCAAAAACATGTAAATGACCTTTCCTGTAGACAGGCAGAACTCCATCTTTGGTAACAGTCTTAAAATGTTCACAGCTTTTTGATTCATGCTTCTTTTTCATTTTAGTGAAGTCTGTTTCAGCCATCACCTTTCTGCAGAATTCTTCATCTCTAGATACGCCAAGAAACTCCACAACTCTCTCAAGATTTGAAAGCGTATTCTGTAATTGAAAAAAGACATATACTCAAATATATATATAAAGGGACACAACTCTGTAGTCGAAACGTTATTCAAACGAAATCTATTCAAGGGAAGATAACAACATTGTCGACATGGTAATCAGGGGCAGGTGACTCTAACACTGAAAAACAACAGTGGAAATCTTTAGTGCTTTGCTCTGGCTGGGACGGGGATCCTTAAATGAGAAAATATGGTATGGGTGTAATTACACCACTGCTTATGTCATCATTAACTCTATTACATGTACCTGTATTCAAGCTGACCTCATATACTGGTATAACTACGTCACCAGTATATCTTTATGATTTTTTCTCTCAAATGCAGAGTTTTTTCCCTCAGTCAAATGTCGTGTTTGGTTCTATATTGAAAATAAAATTTATAAACTTTTGCATTCAGGAATCATAGCTCTTTCGTCTTTCTAGTAATATAATGTATTAAGTGTAGGAACAGACGTCCGAACTCTATTATTCCGCCCGGCGTACCCGATGGCTATACGAAACATTCCTATCAATGCCTATACTAAACTTTAGGGTGACCATCACAGTATGTTGCCACATAGTGTGGAACGGTAGGCATGTCACTATAATGTACACCGTCTTGTCATCAGGTTACATAGAATTTACATTTTAACAGGTTCGTCCAGATGATATCAATTGTGTTTTGTCCTCCTGCTTAATATATTGATATCTACCCTTACTTGGCCATTATTTAACCAGTAGATCTTTCATAACTGATTATTCTATTTTTATCAACAGTAATTGTGCAGAAACTTGTATCTGGTACTTACTCGTTTCAGATCCTCATAGTAAAGTGTGATCGTTTTCATCTTTGGGTATGTTTTCTTAATATCGATCCAATGTTTGATGGCAGTAAACCAGTTCCCGAAGAAAACTGTAATGAAAATCATCCATATATTTACTAATTGATAACAAATATCCTACATTTTGTATCAGAGAAAGTAAACTGAAGTTGTATATTTGTTGTAACCTGCTGTTACATATTAATTTGTGTATACACATCGTGTTACTACGTCTTAGTCAAAACCATGTAATCCATGTAAGTGCGTTTAGTCGCATACACAAGCAATACATCAAGTAGATAAAACGATTTCGATTGTGTTTATTGATTATTTTTTATTGTGTTGTGTGACAAACTACAGTATATTGACAGCTGTTTGTAACACCAATGGGATTGTAATATACACATACGTGACTACATGTATCTACATTATGTGTTACTATAGTATATTGACAGCTGTATGTAACACCAATGTGACTGTTATATAGATATATTTGACTACATGTATCTACGTTATGTGTTACTGCAGTACATTGGCAGCTGTTTGTAACACTAATGTGATTGTAATATAGACATAAGTGACTACATGTATCTCCAGTATTTGTTACTACAGTATATTCACAGCTGTTTGTAACTCCAACGTGATTGTTATATAGTCATATGTGACTACATGCATCAACAGTATGTGTTACTAAAGTATATTGACAGCTGATTGGGATCGTTGTTTAGATATCATATTTCAGACTACAGTATAAAAACAGCTGTTGTTGATAAAAATGTGATCGTTATATAGATATATAGGGCTACATGTATCTACAGTTTGTGTTACTGCAGTATATTGACAGCTGTATGTAACACCAATGTGACTGTTATATAGATATAAGTGACTACATGTATCAACAGTATGTGTTACTGCAGTACATTGGCAGCTGTTTGTAACACTAATGTGATTGTAATATAGACATAAGTGACTACATGTATCTACAGTTTGTGTTACTACATTACATTGGCGGTTGACCGTGACACCAATGTGATTGTTCTATAGATATATGTGACAACATGTATCTACAGTTTGTGTTACTACAGTACATTGGCAGTTGATTGTGACACCAATGTGATTGCACAAGCAATACATCAAGTAGATAAAACGATTTCGATTGTGTTTATTGATTATTTTTTATTTTGTTGTGTGACAAACTACAGCATATTGACAGCTGTTTCTAACACCAATGTGATTGTTCTATAGATATATGTGACTTCATGTATCTACAGTATGGGTTACTACAGTATATTGCCAGCTGTTTGTAACACTAATGTGATTGTAATATAGCCATACGTGACTACATGGATCTACAGTATGTGTTAGTACAGTATATTGACACCTGTTTGTAACACCCATGTGATTGTTATATAGTCATATGTGACTACATGCATCTACAGTATGTGTTTCTTCAGTATATTGACTGTTGTTTGTAACACCAACGTGATTGTTATATAGATCTATGTGACTACATGTTCCTACAGTATGTGTTAATACAGTATATTGACAGTTGTTGGTGACACCTTTGTCATTGTTAAATAGATATATGTGACTAAATGTACCTACAGTATATGTTACTACAGTATATTCACAGCTGTTTGTAACTCAAACGTGATTGTTATATAGACATATGTGACTACATGTATCAACAGTATGTGTTACTGCAGTAGATTGACAGATGGTGAAAGCAATGGGATTGTTATATCGATAAATGTGACTACATGTACCTACAGTATGTGTTAGTACAGTATATTGACACCTGTTTGTAACACCCATGTGATTGTTATATCGACATACGTGACATCATGAATCTACAGGATGTGTTACAACAGTCTACTGACCGCTGTTTGTGACAAAATTGACGTTGCTATATTGATTTATGTGACTACCTAGAGTATGGGTTACTACAGTATATTAACAGCTGTTTGTAACACTAATGTGATTGTAATATAGCCATACGTGACTACATGTATATACAGTATGTGTTACTGCAGTACATTGGCAGCTGTTTGTAACACCACTGTGATTGTTATATAGACATATGTGACTACATGTGTCTACAGTATGTGTTCCTAAGGTATTTTGACAGCTGTTTGAAACACCACTGTGATTGTTATATAGTCATATGTGACTACATGTTCCTACAGTATGTGTTACTGCAGTACATTGGCAGCTGTTTGTAACACCCATGTGATTGTTATATCGATATACGTGACATCATGTATCCACAGGATGTGTTACTTCAGTGTACTGACCGCTGTTTTTGACAACATTGACGTTGATATATAGATTTATGTGCCTACCTACAGTATGGGTTCCTACAGTATATTGACAGTTGTTTGAAACACCAATGTGATTGTAATATAGCCATACGTGACTACATGTATATACAGTATGTGTTGCTACATTGTATTGACAGCTGTTTCTAACACCAATGTGATTGTATATAGATATATGTGACTAAATGTATCTACAGTATATGTTACTACAGTATAATGACAGCTGTTTGTATTACCAATGTGATTGTTAGATAGATATACGTGACAACATGTATCTACAGTATATGTTACTACAGTATAATGACAGCTGTTTGTAGCACCAATGTGATTGTATATAGATATATGTGACAACATGTATCTACAGTATCTGTTACTCCAGTATATTGACAGTTGTTTGAAACACCAATGTGATTGTTAGATAGATATACGTGACTACATGTATCTAAGTTATGTGTTACTGCAGTACATTGGCAGCTGTTTGTAACACTAATGTGATTGTAATATAGACATACGTGACTACATGTATCTCCAGTATTTGTTACTACAGTATAATGACAGCTGTTTGTAGCCCCAACGTGATTGTTATATAGACATATGTGACTACATGTACCAACAGTATGTGTTACTACGGTATATTGACAGCTGCTTGTAACACCAATGGGATTGTAATATACACATACGTAACTACATGTATCTACAATATGTGTTACTACAGTGCACTGACCGCTGTTTGTGACAAGATTGACGTTGCTATATAGCTTTATGTGACTACCTAGAGTATGGGTTACTACAGTATATTGCCAGCTGATTGTGATCGTTGTTTAGATATCATATTTCAGACTAAAGTATAAAAACAGCTGTTGTTGATAAAAATGTGATCGTTATATAGATATATATGTGTGACTACATGTATCAACAGTATGTGTTACTGCAGTATATTGACAGATGTTTGTAACACCAATGGGATTGTAATATACACATACGTAACTACATGTATCTACGTTATGTGTTACTGCAGTATATTGACAGCGGTTTGTAACACCAATGGGATTGTAATATAAACATACGTGACTACATGTATATACAGTATGTGTTGCTACAGTGTATTGACAGCTGTTTGAAACACCACTGTGATTGTTATATAGACATATGTGACTACATGTGTCTACAGTATGTGTTACAACAGTCTACTGACCGCTGTTTGTGACAACATTTACGTTGCTATATAGATCTATGTGACTACATGTATCAACAGTATGTGTTACTGCAGTACATTGGCAGCTGTTTGTAACACTAATGTGATTGTAATATAGACATAAGTGACTACATGTATCTCCAGTATTTGTTACTACAGTATAATGACAGCTGTTTGTAGCACCAACGTGATTGTTATATAGATATACGTGACATCATGTATCTACAGGATGTGTTACTACAGTGTACTGACCGCTGTTTGTGACAACATTGACGTTGCTATATAGATTTATGTGACTACCTACAGTATGGGTTACTACAGTATATTGACAGCTGATTGTGATCGTTGTTTAGATATCATATTTCAGACTACAGTATAAAAACAGCTGTTGTTGATAAAAATGTGATCGTTATATAGATATATATGACTACCTACATTCCTCCTTAAGAAAGAAGTGAAGAAAGCCACTGAAGTCTCCTGTAAATCCTACACTCTTCATAGCGCTCAAAAAGCAGTAGTAGGAAACAGCGACGTCTTTAGGATTCCGGATGATGTTGACAACTATGCCTTTGCCGTTTTTAATGTCGTCCGGAAATAGATCCACCTCTAGATGTGTTGTAAACAGCCTCGGAGAGGGCATGGTGTTTATCATGTCAATATCGTTGAATTCCAGATACGTGGGATTCGCATATGTCATTGTTCCTGTCAGGAACATGTGTAGAATGTTGTACATCCAATGTGTTCCTGACAACAGTATGTAATAACGTCACTGCATTGGTTACTGATAGAGATTATATTAACGTAGCGATAGTATGTGATAAAAGTAAAGAACGTGTTGAAAAGACATACATATAAAGACATATATTGATATGTTACTAATACCACACACGAATTCCGATAGTTTGATTCCATTTTTGAGGGTGCGTTACGATATAAGAACATTTTCACACTCAAAAAGTGTTAACTTTTACAACATGCGTTGAAAAACAAGTTGTCAAATTTTAATATATTTTTCTTTGCGAGAGATGCTGAGTTTTCAGCGATTTTTCGTTGCTTCAATTAACGTTCCGTAATTATACCGTTAATATTTACAATACAAGGTTAAGCTGATTAGGAGAGCGAGCATCGTCGTAAAACATTACCAGATTTCGGGTAAGTGTATAGCAACACGTCCTCCTGTCGACATTTGAGCTGGGCAGTGTTGGTTACTAAGTCCCGGGCGTTAGTTGGGACATGAGGAGGGAACACATGCCCTTTATACAAGGAATACTGGATGGTGTTGCCAAACTCATCCTTGATTTCTACCGTCTCAATAACATCCATTATAATGTTTCCTCTATTCTAATAATTAAAAGAAAATAAGAAATCAATATTACACAATTTGTGTTATTCAACAAACATATAAGTTAAAAGGGACATTTTTAAACGTTTATGACAAAACAAAAAGGGCACAAGAGCATCGATCAGTACAAAGGAAAATCAAAATTCCATACAAAGAAGAGACAACAGGAACGGATAAAATTAAAGAAGACAACAACAAGAACAGTTGAGACAGAAGCATTACTGACCCATCGGAGAGAAACGGAGAACATTAATAGGATTTCCGGAAAAGAGAGCATTTTCTGGATCATCTAAGACACACGAGCTTATATTTACATCTCTTCCTTCTTCAGCTAAGTAAACTCTGACTGCGTATAAATTTACGTAAACGCAATGAAAAAGTCTCGGCGGATTGATATATATATCTTTCAAATATGGCGCCGTCCACGCTTCAGGGCGATAACTGTTCGATGACAGCCATTTTTTGGTTCCTTCAACATTTAGAAACATGGAACATATTTGGGATCCATTATGTCTGATTATACATCAACTGGCAAACTTCTTATTCCATTGATGCACATTTAAAATTCTTTGACGGTATAATAATGGCGGCTTCCTCTTGGGACGTTCGACCACGTCACTACCAGAGTAGTGTGTCAATGCGTGTACAAAACGACCGTTATAATTGAATAAATATGTTTGAAGTGCTACTAATATTACTTAATTAAAAATGCACAGGCGATGACAAAAAATACTGTTGTTCACAGCATATTTTCTAAATTTACCAATATATCAATGTAGGTTCACTGGAACTATATTATCCTAGCAACCACGGCTACCATATTTACCATTGTAGCAAACCGCTTCGAATGTTTATTTGCTTTGTATAGCATTTGAACATTATTTATGATGTAAATATTAGGATTGACCTTCATTTTAACGGCGTATACGGTAGTTTGAACGCAGTTGGCAACAAATATTTTCTTTATGGAGCGCTAACGAGCACCATAGAATATGTTCGTTGCCAACTGCGTTCATACTACTATATACGCCGTCAAGATAAAGATCAATTCTTAAATAAGTCCAATAACAATCTCATTACA